TCTGGTATACCAGGTAATTCCTAAAAATAAGATACTCTCAAAAAAGGTGGCTACCCTCATTCAGTGCACTGTATCTATGGAAGAAGGCACAATGGTTGTCAGAGAGGTCAAACTTGTGATACAACTTCTCTATCTCATGGCAGATATGTGTGTATACTGATTAACAGATTGTAAGATCTTACAAGTAAGGCCCTCCTAACCCTCTTGGTTTGAATTGTATTGTAGGCATAATTTATTCCTTTATTCTGTAAATGGACTTTGTTTGAATGAACTCCCGTGCCCCGTGACACACAGGGAAGACACCTGCACTTTTTGGAAACCGAAGCCAGCACGGGAACCTCGGTTCCCAGTGCGGTTGAGATTTCCATTGCGGGTGTGTGTGCTATTAGAATTAATGGCACCCGCCCGTGGGTCCACATTATTCTGTGCGGGTGGTGCGGCTGCACGGATTTTTGTGCGGATCCGCAACAGCACCACCCGCACAGATGTGAACCTAGCCTTAGTGTTCTCTACAGGCAGTATTCACATACCGACAGGCTGGTTGTACTAAAGCTGATCGATGGATCGACTACCCTTAAAGGGATGGAATCATGGCCAGTTCCTGCCAAGACTTGATTCATCTATGGCTGGCTTTAGAATGGTAAGCTGCAATGGATGCGTTTTTTATTGTTCTTGAGATTAGATAATTTTTTCAAAATTTTATGGAAATCTCAATTGTTCTTGTAGAAGTGTAACTTAGGCCCCAGCTCACGATTGATCCTGTAGTGGGTTGGTGACCCTAGGAACTAATAAAGAAGCTCAGGGGTGGGCCAAACTCACATCTTAAAAGAAAAACCTCAATCTTTTGCTTAGCCTCAGCTACCTTCCTCTTTGGATTGGCCAATTGTTTTGAAATGGCAATTTCCTTGAAGACAACTTTTGCTTATGCATTTTTCATTAGAAGCTCTGGTTCAAGTAACCAGGTTTACTTTAAATCTGAAGTTACAGATAAAAAAAAAAAAAAAAAGTCATAGTATATGCTGAATAATCTAGCCCACCATCAGTGCTGTGACAAGTCTATTATTAATAAGTCACATTAATTCAGTGTTGGTACCAGGGCTCAACGTTCACCCACACACGGTCTATGTAAAAGATAAGTGCACTTTAATGAAGAAAAACTCTATCTCCATACAAAACACAATGTCATATTAGCTCAATACTGTGCTTTAGATACCTTTTACAGCAGAATTATCTTATTTAGGGATATGGGTAGCATATATCAGGTCTAGAGCATCTTGCTGCAATTGGAATTATTCAAAGTGTGCCAAGTGGTTGATGCTAGCCACTAGTCGAAAAATCGTTTCGAAAAACTAAAACACAGTTGCGACAACAAGGGCTATTGCCATCATGTAATGACCAATTTTCAATGGACATGAATTAATCAGTTTCTCATTTGTTTTGTCACATATGCACAGTACGAAAAGCTTGAGTTTTAAATGGGCTAGAAACATTAACCTTTCAATTTATTATCCGTTTGGCAGAAGTTTTTCAAAGTTCTCCTTCGATATTTTTTTTGGGCTCAACTTTTGATTTGGGCCTTTCATCCAGATGCAAAACGAACGAACTGTCCAAAATGACAGATTTTTAAATGGTCTAGTGTATGAGCACCAGAAGTTGATCTGCCCCATTCATGCATAAAACATCAGATGGGGGTTGGTTATACTAGCCCATCTTACTCTGGTAGAACCTTTGCCATTTATTGCTCAGTGAAGCACCTGCTAAAAAAAAAAAATAAAAAATAAATATGCACCTATCCATGTGTATAATTGATCCACTGTTAATGACTTTACAAAGTCTGACGTGGCAACCCAAACTTTCTTTGGTACTTCAGGAGCACTCTAGTTGAAAGACCTGGGTTAATTCACATACCAGCAGGACAAAAAAAAAAAACAAAAAACACCTATATGTATCGGTTGATGGCCATTTGCCCAAACTCCCAATGTAAACAATGCTTACAGGCACAGATGACCCACAGAGTAGCCAAGACTGCATCCAACTATGTTTAAAAAGGTAAAAAAGTGTTACAACTTGGAGGTAGGGAGTTAGAATGATGCCAGTAATGATTTAATGTGTCTACAAAATCATGTATGTTTAGGATAGCATAAGAAGGGGTTAAAACCCCTCTGCTTTAATTTCTTTGCTGGCTCTGACCTATAGGTAAGATATCACTTCTCTTGCTGTCCCACAAATGCAACAGGAAGTGAAAAGAGAATTTCTACAATACCCATTTATCTCTTACTTTGGTCAAAACCATCACATTTTGTCTTGGCGATAATGAGCCCCAGGACCAATAGAAGAGTTAAATCTACGCAGTGAAGATGCAGACAGCAAAAAAAAAAAAAAAAAAAAATAAAAAAAAGACTCGACAGGCATCCTAATCCTTGCCTACTCTGTTCAAAACGGGGGGGGGGGGGGGGGGGTCATAGAAGGGAATGACCAGCAGGAGTCTAGCAGTGCAACTTTTACAAAAAACATGTGCAGAAGAAAGATTGGGAGGGAACTAATGAAAATCTCCAGAGCCAGTTATATTCCTTTCACTAGGTGGGGGGGGGGGGGGTTAAGGGGAGAAGGACAGCATTGTATTGCTATGGACCAATGGATGTGAACAGATGATCATCCATGTCCGTTACAGGCCATTGAAAAAATGATCCCTCCAGATCCGTTCTGTTTATGTCCATTTTTAGGCAAGAAAATTTTTTTTGTTTATATTCTTAAATCACCTCTGATTGGTCTCTTCAACAACAAGTAAATATAGATGTAGACTAACCTAAACTAAAAAGGGAGATGAAAAACTGACATAATCTGAGCACTAATGTAAAAACTGAATTTTTTTTTGTATTATAAAAAAAAAAAAACCCACACATGACTGAATGGATCACACCCATGTGCAAGGGCCTTAAACACTTTTTTTTTTTTTTTAAACAAATCTGTCATCACTGATACCTTTGCCTAATTTAAAGTGTTACTAAACCCACAGCAGTAAAATCAGTCTGTATATGCAGTAAAGCATGCTTGTTATACTCACTGTGTAAACTAGGGGGTTAATCTTCAACATTGTGTAAAAAGGTAGTTTGATCCGGTCTTCTCTGATCCTCAACATCTTCTACCATCTCCAATCCATCTGCTGCCAGTACAGAGCTCTAAGAGTCACTCTGCACACTCATGTTTAATATGTATTACTAGAATTTTTTTTTTTCTCCTTTGGGAGGGTGCATGTGATCAGCACAGGGCCAATCAGCACTGTCCAGACAGAGGGTCAGTGGTCATGCAGCCTCATAGGACAGTCAGAACAGAATGAAAAGCTTTAACCAGCGCTCAGCTGGTCACAGATATAAGTTACAAGACTGCTATATACTGTTGCTGAGAAAAGGTATTTAGCAGTTTAGTGTATAGTTACTGAAAAAAGTGCACTTCCATGTTCTGTGGGAGGCCAGATCTAGTAAATGCAGGGTCCTGGGTTTAGTAACACTTTACTATACATTTTCTCAGCCTTACTCTAGAGCAGTAGTTCTCAACCTGTGGGTCGCGACCCTTTGGGGGGGGGGGGGGGGGGTCGAACAACCTTTTTACAGGGGTCCCCTAAGACCATCAGAAAACACATTTCCGATGTGTAAAGAGCAGCTACTGTGTAGAAAGCAGCTACTCTGTTGAAAGCAGCAGTATTGGAGGTAAAACGACACTCATGAATTATAATTACTGGGTAAATAATTTTATGGTTGGGGGTCACCACAACATGAGGAACTGTATTAAAGGGTCGCGGCATTAGGAAGGTTGAGAACCACTGCTCTAGAGCAAACTATGTCTCATCTCAATTAGTGTTATGCAAAAATCTACCAGCTACCCTACACCACCCCCACATCTTTGGTCTGCCATTACTGGCCCATCACCATGATAGGCAGCCTCACTGGCCCATCACCATGATAGGCAGCCTCACTGGCCTATACCAATTCTTAATAGTTTTAGGATACAGAACATTAAGGACTTTTTAGCAGAGATTAGGAGATGCATAGCTAGTCCCCGCTAGAGCAGACCAAAAAGGAGAATGTAAAGGTTCAAGTACACAAAGTTCAGGAGATTACGCACAAAGTCAAGCTCATCTGATAAATATTGTAAAGATGTAAAATACACATTGACACTACGGTTCTGAAAAATTCATGCTTTAGTAAAAGCGTTCATTCCCACAGAGGCAACTCATCCTTACACACAACTTGCACAGACTTCCTTAGGAAGCATCAGATTAAAAACTATTACCCCACCCTAAATGAGCTTGTTGTTAAATAACTACCAAATCAATACTTAATGCAGGAGCAGAGACCTTAAGGCATCTGTAGTGAAGCTAAAAACACATATAGAGACAGCACAGGATAAAAACAAGTGGCAGGTGTTACATTATTACCATCAACTGTTAAAGCCAGCAGGTGACAAAAACCACACTACATTCTGGAATTAGGAAGATGTTCAAACATGTCTTCTACAACGCCTTGGGGGGACACGGAGCATCTCACGGTTGATGGTATTCATCACTCCACATTCTGTTGAATAGCAAGCCTCATCCAGCTACTGCTTCAGGGAGAATTAGAAAAATATCTAGAAGGCTATACAACCACGTGATTTTTTTTTTTTCTTAAATCTTTATCCATTTTTGGTGTATAGATAAGCAATTCTTATTTACCTAATCTTTTGCATCTAGTTAAGGCTGACTGGGAAAGCTTTATAAATATCTTCATTTTTAGATATTAAACCACCATCACAGAAAGGAGAAAAAAGCAGCCAATAGTGTTACATGTTCTAACAACATTAGACACAGTCCAAGTATAGTCATTGCAGAAGAAATAAAGTGCTACAATTACAGCTGTTTAAAAGTAGTAAAGCCAGGGAGGAATGGCATAGTTCACATAAGAAAATATATCAAGCTGTTAGCTTCAATTAGAAGACGTACCATATTTCAAAACAGCTCTATGCTACATATGAGGAGCAAAGCGAACACCATCTCTGAGATTAAGAAGACTGCTGTGCATTACATCTCTTCTCTGAAAGCCATAGGGAGTTGGCTCGCAGTTAAAGTACGAGCTGGTCAATCGATTCCTCCTGGAGAGGATGGATACCATGTGATCAAGCTTAGACCTGATAGAGGTATAATGTAATTGACGGTCCTTGCCAAGTTTCTTGAAGGAGTCACGCATGGTATAATCAGAGTGGTGCAAACCACTGCTTGAGCGAATGGAAGTGTCAGATGCTGTGCTAGTGGTGGAAGCAGAAGACGAAGATGAGGAGGATGTAGTAGACGATGACGACAACCTTGCCACTGTTGAAACAGTTGAGGTTTTGCTCAATTCTGTTGAAGGTTCCTGGACTTGAGTTGTCTGAGTCGTTGCAGACCTTGAAAAGGTCACAGTTTGGGTGGACGCCATTCTGGACAAAATGGCCGTTTGAGTCCCAGCAGTTGACGTATTCACATTTGTCTGAGTGGCTGCATCTTTTCCTTTAAGATTCCACCAGCCATCACTAGGCTCAGTCTGAGTGGCCACAGTTTCAGTTTCCTTGAGACCAGATATTATCTCACAGTTCTGCAACCAGTCCTCTTCAGACCCTTTAACCTTACCAGTATCAGTCTCCAATGTGGTCTTTGTTTCCACAGCCACTCTCTTTGGTGTGCTTGACAACTTGGCAATCTCCAGCTGTAGAAGGTTTGTCAGTAACGGCTTCCTTTGGGCTGGCAGAGCACAGGACACTTTATCTGTAGTTACAGCCGCGTTCCGGATGCTCATTAGAAGCTTGGTACTAATTGGCTTGGATTGAGCATAAAGAATCCTGAACTGGAGGTCAAATTTCTCCACTATTTGTCCTGATAATAATACAACATTACTGCTGTTGAGTTTACCATCCATCCAGGTGAAGCTGTGGAGAGATGACATAGCAAGTTCATTTCTGAAAAGAATCAAAAAGAAATATAGATGCTGATAATAGTCATCAATAGTTGTGACTAAAACAGTCATCAATATTTGTCACTGCAGTTGTGTTCTTGATATTTTACTACAGTAGCAAATTGGGTGTTCTGCTTACACAAAGCAAACATTTATCATTCTAGGTCACAGATATAACAACATTGTCTGGATCAGGTACACGTGCCAGAACCACACCTGTAACTTCCTGTGGCAACTTTCAGGCCATCCACAAGCAGGAACTTTTCATGAGCCTTCCCAACAATCTTGGCACCAGACCTGGTATAATAGTTGTTGCCGGTTAAGGTTCGGACCCGCATATTCTGTAGGGACAGTACATAAAATCATAGCTTATAGAAATCAAATAGCACAAGAAGTACATTTTATTTTTTTAAAATCATACATTGCAAAATTAAAAAAAAAAAAAAAAAAAAAAAAAAAAAAAAAAAAAAAAAATCGGTCACTTTTACCAGAACGGGTTACATTATCTACTGATAGCCCACCTTTACAATCTGCTTACACACATTCATCGTGGTAGCCTGCTGTTTTGTTGGATCCACCACAAATAACCAGTCCTCTAGGTATGTTGGGGGTATGAGACTACTTCCCATAATGCAGTACTCAAGCAACCAAGTGGCTGGGCCAAATACTGTCAAGTGAGGATGATGATGACCTCATGTAAGCTATCAGACACGGAGCTTACATAGGGTTTGACTTCCAAAAGGAACGGAGGGGTGAGTGCAGGTACGACTGGTATTTTGCTTGGAATTGGCACAGTGGCTTTTCCAGTTTCAGCTAAATACACTCCAAAAACACTACCTAATGTATATTTATACTGCAAGATTAAATATTTCCTACATAAAAGACCAAATAGAGAAAACAGCAGGGGTGCACTATACCCATGCACGAAACCCACTATGACCTAAAAGGTTTGCTTTAATTCACAAGTGTCTAAAACACAGAGATAATTAAAGGAAGACGTAAGGATGCCAGATGTATGACCTTATAATTGCAATGCGGAATCCGTGCAAAAATACAAAAAAAAAAAAAAAAAAAATGATGGAACAGATATCTCCCTATAATGAAGAAAGAAAAAACATCTTTAGCTGCCATTGGCCAATTTAGGTTTGATAAGTGGAGATGTGTGTAGGGTATGGTCAGTATCCTGGCCACACACCATGACTGACCCTCCTATACACATCTCCACTTAAACACATAAAATTGACCAAACAGTAGCTACAGTCATACTTGCTGTCTGGTTGTTCTCACTCTCTAGAATGAAGGCAGTTGTATATTTGTTCCATCATTTTGTATTTTTTCCACCAATTCACATTGCCCTATAGGGTTATACATCTGGCATCTTTAAGATTTCCTTTCATATTCTATGATTTTTAGACAATTACGAATAAAAGTGAAGTTTTAGGTCATAGTGGGTTTGGTGTGTGGGTATAGTGCACCCCTGTGGTTTCTCTATTAAATCCACTCCAATTCAAGAGTAATTGCCAGCAGCACCTGAAAACCTCAGCATTTTGTTTCATTTTTGACATACAATGTACATCAAGGGTGCTCAACCTTTTGAAGAACGAGGGCCACTTAAGTGATTTGGCAACCAGTCACGGGCCACAATGACTTACAGGATTTTTTTTCACCCCCCAAACTGCAAAATGTGAGTCCCTACTGTCCCAAGCCCCCTTTAGGGCTGCTTTCACACCAATGTGCTGCGGTTTACCCACTCTGTGGGTGCAGCACAGAACGCCTGCAGCTTTCCTGCATGGAGCCATAAGCTTCTATTACATCTTGCAGCTGTGGTGCACTTTCTGAAAGCACACTCACCCAAACTCCCGCATTTAGGCGTTTTGGTGGACTTTCAGAAAGTGCAGCACACCTGCAGGATATAACAGGTCTATGACTGCAGATGTACAACAGTATGAAAGTAACCCTTTATTACAAGTGTTACACTGCACTTGTGCAATGTAGATAGTATGGGTTTAATACACTGAGCTTTTCCTCTTCAACTTCTGCTGGCATTGCACTCCAGGTTGCTAGAAAGGTCCCAGGTGAACTGCACTTTGTAGCACCACTAACTGTCCCTGGTGGAGCAATACCGAGGAAGCGTTGGCTTAGGCAGCTCATTGCTCTCTATGGCTGCCTGCCTCTTCTGCTGCCAGCACTGGTCCTATGCACTCTGATGCTGCCCTGGTTTGAGTTGTGGGCCACACCAAAAGGGTTCCACAGACCACATTTGGCCCATGAGCTGAGTGCCCCTGATGTACATGGTTTCATTTGCAGGCTAGCATCATCAAGGATGATCCACCACAACTGATTAGATGAGGATTAGAACACGTTGACAAATTTTGCACCTTGCTGCCTGCATAAAAAAACGATTTGCCCCATAAAAGGGTCAATTAATCCCCAGATGAAGTCTCATACGTATTCTCTCTATGCTCCTGTAGCCCAGAAAGTTGGTTTTGACCATTTTATTGCTAGGAAATATGAAAGGTGGTGAATTCTCCTTGGTAATAGGAGCCTACAAATGAACAGTATTTGACATGCTTATTAACTGGGGGGAGGGGGAAGGTCTGTGTACTACAACACAAGTCCCAGAAGGCAGAACTTTTAAAAGATCTTTGTTTTTAGATTCTATAAAATAACAAAACCAGAGGAAACACAACTTCAATTCCATACTTTAAAGGTTTCCTTTTATTACAATCTAGTCTAGTTTACACGTACCTGTTCTGTTTCAATTAAAATGCCAAGATTTTGGCACATGGTAAGAAAATGCGGCAGTTGAGACTCATCCACCAAGATGTAAGCTGGAACGCGGCGTTTTCTGCATGCCTCGTGAATATCTCGAAATATGTCATTGTCTGTAAAGGAGTCCATGACCACTGCGATTACCTGGAGAAGAGGGACAATTATTCATCACCAGACTGAGGTCTCTCAGCTCGGACAGCTTTGAAGTTTAATAACTACATAATGTTGGGATATCAGGAAGCTTCTTGATTTCCTATCCAGCAATACTTAAACCAGTAAATCAGGCATGCTAAATTGGCGGTTTCCAGGCTACATTTGGCCTTCTGCAGTTTGAGAATACTAAATGAGACCACAGCTATTCTCTAGATTAAAAGCTCTACTCTTCCCATCGTAGGTTTGGAGGTCACTACTTCAGGAAACAATTTTAGGGTGCAGTTCTCTAGCATGACAATTGCTGACCCTTTGACAGGTACCACTCCCATCCTGGCTTAGGCAGGAATGAGGTCTCACATGTCTGAGGAAGCTGCAGGACCAGTCCTCTGTACAACCTCATGGGGAGCTGGCTGAGACATCAAGGGGGTCACAGCCGACTCTCAAAATCCAAGATGACAGCCCCAAGGGCATCAGTGCCAATAAGAATCAGCTGCAGAGAAGACAGATACTTCCAACCCATGGAATCTGGCCCTGTTTCTCAAGTCAGCTGATGCAGTATTTGTAGCTGCTGACTTTTCACAACCCTTGGTGAAGTTCTTAACTGCTTGCTGCCCGCCCACCGTAGTTATACTGCAGGTGAGCAACACAGTCCTGCTGGATGACATAAGTGTACGTCACCGAGGCTCTGCCATGTTTGAGTAAGGTATGTAGTAGGGCACACCAGTGGACGATGCTGTGGAAGTATGGCAGGTGATGGTGGATGGTGTAGGGCAGTGGTCGGCGAGCCACATGCGGCTCTTTACACACTTCAATGCAGCTCTTCTGTGTGCCGGGTGCCCGCTCCCCTCCCTCCTCTCGGGCAGCCGCCCCAAAAGTCAGGACTCTGCAGCTAGCCCAGCAATGGGCAAACTACGGCCCGGCGGACCTTTTAATCTGGCCCGCGGAGCGTGGCAAACATTGGCTGTCAGGATGTAGGCGGGGCAGCGTGACGAACTCCTCTCCTCTCATAGTCCGCCCTGAAGACCGGAACGGCGCGGGAACATGGCGAGAGGAACGCGCGGAGCAAAGGTAAGTGAATTGACACAATATGGGGAATGAATTACTATAGGGGGGATGAATTACTATATGGGGTATGTATTTTCAGTTTTAAAAATGTGGCTCTCAAAATAAATTTCAATCGTGGTTTTGGCAAGATTTGGCTCAGTTGAAAAAAAAAGGTTGCCCACCACTGGTGTAGGGAAACTGGTACTGAGCAGCACTTCTAAAGAGTGGAGACAAACTCTGTGCAGAAGGTGAAACAGGAAGGCGCTTCTAAGTGTAGTATTCCAGGTCAACTTTAATAAAAAGCGGTTAAAAAAACCACTTACAATGTAGTAGTACAAACAGGCTCTAATGTAGCAGGGCTCGGTCCTCTGAGCGATGGAGCTGCTGTCCCAGCCAGCAGCTACAGGGGAGGCTTGAGGAGGTGTTAAAGATGGCCACTGCTCTGTTCAGACTGCTGGAGCACACTGTGGAACGCACACTGTCCACGGAGCGGAAGTGACGTAAGCATGGAGTAGTGACGCAATTCGGAGCATGAGCAGAGCTCCTTCTTCAAGGCTGCCTTCCTCTTCACCTTCTGCCATGTTTGTGCCCACTGCCACTGTGACTGTACCGCAATGGGACACGCTTTGTCAGCAGGGCCCAGTCAATGATTCACAGTCGAGACCTGCTGATCGGCAGTGTCTAATCACAGCACAGAGCCCTGTGATTACAAAAAAAAAAAAAAAAAAAAAAACAGGGCTCTGTACACAGACCATCCAGATAGAAAAGTAAAAGCAGCACAGACAGTTAGGTATATATTTAGTCCATTGATTGCCCCTAGATGTTAGCTCCTATCCAGTGTACACTATTATCATTGATCACTGTATTAGTGTCACTATTGGTGTCAGTTGGCATTTCCAAATGTAGATTTTTTTTTTTTTTTAAGGATTACACAAAAAACCCCCCCAAAAATGTACATTTCATTTGAGTGCGTTGCATGACTGCACAATTGTCAGTTAAAGTAACGCAGCGCTGTAATGCAAAAAATGGCCTGGTCAGGAAGGGAAAGGGGGGTGTAAATCCTCAGGAGGGAAAGTGGTTATTACACACACACACACACACTAACCAATTAATACACACTTTTGGGATTTTTTTTTTTTATTACCAAAAAAGCAGAATACATTTTTGCCTAGAATTTAAGAAATTTTATTTTTCCAAAAAGTGTTTTATCGAAAAAAAAATGTACAAAAAAAAAAATTTAATTTGTGTGCAGTGTTGCATGACCACACAGTTGTCAGTTAAAATAAATGGGCTGAATCAAAAAATGTTCCATGAAGTGGGTCAAACCTTCCGGAGCTCAAGTAACACTTCCAGGTATTTGTTAACTCTCAAAAAGAACACAGTACATTCCCAGAACGTTTAAGAACTGGAGTTCCTTTCTAGAAGAACAGCACCATCTTTATTCAGGCATCCTTCAGGGTCAGTATGCAAGCTGCTGGCATAGAGATGACAATCATGTAAATTCTGATACCTGTGCAACTCTTGCTTTATATCTAACACAGATCAGCCCCTCACCCTGTGACTTGATACAAAAAGTTAGTTTCACATCAGAGGAAGAGGAGACTGAGCAAATACAGTCTTCTGTCAGCAGCAAACGGAGAATATTTTTTAGTTGTGGCAAAGTCCTCCTCTAAGTTTATAGCTTTGCACATAAATAATTATTATAAAAAAGTAGCTCCAGTATAAAAGCTAGACAGATCGCATTCAAACAAAAGCCTCTCAGCCCTCAGTGAATAAGATGGTTATATGAATGGGCTTGTAGCAAAGATCTATATGTACTGTGAATGTTTGAACATCTAGCAAAGATACAGCCACCTTATAGAAACCATTCATGTCCAGACACCATATTACCAGACAGAGAAGCGTGATTAGTCACTCCAGAGAATACATCTCCACTGCTCTAGAGTCCAGTGGCGGCGTGCTTTACACCACTGCATCCGACACTTTGCAGTGCACTTGATGATGTAATATTGGGGCAGCACAGTGGCTAAATAGTTAGCACTTCCACCTGGCAGTACAAGGGTCGCTGGTTCAAATCCCAACCACGACACCATCTGCCTGGAGTTTGCATGTTCTCCCTGTGACTGCGTGGGTTTCCTCCGGGTACTCCGGTTTCCTCCCACACTCCAAAGACATGCTGGTAGGTAAATTGGTACCTGTCTAAATTGGCCCTAGTATGTGTATGTATGGATGTAAGTTAGGGACCTTAGATTGTACACCCCTTGAGGGTTAGGGACTGATGTGAATGTACAATATATATGTAAAGTGCTGTGTAAATTGATGACGCTATATAAGTACCTGAAATAAATAATCCATGAAAGCATATTTAAAGTCCTAATTTCACATGTGATGTCTTGTCCTTTTCCATGGAGATTATATAATTTAAGAATGTGAACAATGCCGTTCTCTCAGGCCCACATAGCAGCTGCTTTGGGGGGAGTTGGGATTTCTGCCCTCCAGAAAATAGTCATCATTCAAGTCGGATATTAAAGGGGACAGGTGAGCAGAAAGAATGCGCTCTTATCACTCACATACCGCATTGATACAGTCGTGGGAGGGGGTGCCAGCTGCTGCTAGATTGAACATGTTACGGCAGAAGTGGAGTTGCAGCAATATTTTTAGTGGTGGAGTCCCAGCTGAGTCAGCAGCCCCCTCAAGGGCGGACCATAGACTCGTGATGTTTACCACGTAGATGATAGAAGGCCAATCTGACAGAATTCAGGGACAGCCTAAGGGGCTCGTATGTCACCCTGAGAAAGTAAACACACCGGGGCAAGCTAAAGAGAAAACTAAAGCTGACAGTCTTATAGGTAATTAATATATAGCAGTTCAGTGAGAAACAAAAGCGGGAGCGCCAGTCAAAGCTACAAACAACCTGGAGCCCTGGGGGATACTTAGTACACCTATTGGGTAAACAGAGGAGCTGGGAGTCCTGGACCCCTCTTTTCCACCAGGAACCTCAATAAGTCTTTTTGACCTGGCCATTATGAACCTGCTTGACTCAGACAGACCCTTGAACATGCGAAGATCGTCTGTTATGAGCCCGATATGTGCTAATTGGGGACAGAGTCGAGGTTTCCAGTCCCGAGTTCAGCCTTCCATATATATATATATATATATATATATATATATATATATATATATATATATATATATATATATATATATATATCCCTGTATGCTATGTCTCAAATTGGGATGGTAGGCCTCCCTTTAACTATATACTATGATGTACAACTTTCTTTGTAAATCTGTCTTTTTTTTTTTTTGGAGTTGTTTCTGTTTCCTTGTTTTTTCTTTCTATGATTGGAAATAGGACCATTCACACCTGATGTTTTTCTCTCTCAATATGTAAACTGCAAGTGTTGTATCGTATATTTACTGCCTGCTTCCTCTCCATCAGAATTTGTATTTTTATTTTCTTTTGTCAATTTGTGTAAAAATATGAATAAAGTTAAAAAAAACCCAACACTCACCCGTCCCACCCGTGTACTCACTGCAGCCAGTTTCACCAGCCATCCTCGCTCCCCTATGCCGGCATCTTAAGTGTGGGCACCCAGCTGTGACTGCTTCACAAACAGGAGCCCACTGCGCATGCGCAAGCAGTGCTGCACCTCATGAATGGTCCCTTGTTCCAGAAGAAAGGACGACAACTTCTGAATCCTATGGTCTAAGCCACAGGTGTCAAACTGGTGGCCCTCCAGCTGTTGCCAAACTACAAGTCCCATGAGGCATTGAAAGATTGACAGTTACAAGCATGACTCCCAAAAGATAGAGGCATGATGGAACAGCTGGAGGGCTGCCAGTTTGACACCGCTGGTCTAGGCAATTGCAGCGGAAGAGGGAGAGGGTACCTGTCAAAAACAGGTACCTGCTCTCCCCCAGGTGAAAATTCTCCACAGGGAGTG